CTCGCCGATGCCGTACAGCAAGAGTCACTCGCCGTTGCTGCGATAATCAGAACTCGGTTCCACTACAACCCGTCGAGGTGCTTGTTTGGCTCGAGCATTGGACGTGCAGTTCTTTGCCCTTCTCCGATGTCTTGATATCCACCAGCGGGTTTTTCCTCAAGACCCTCCCCTCCCTTGGAGCCTCGCGCTCCACACTCTCTTTCTTTTCCCCTTCTCCATGCCTCTGGGACGTGGACGGACGAACGTAGGGCCAATTTTTCGTCGCCGCACGCCTCCCTCAGCACCTCGTCCTTTTTTTGCGAAGCCCCTCGGAGGGAAGCCACCCGAGAAACCGCCTTCAGCTCCTCAACCGAGCAATCGCGACGAAGCCCCACGACCTACCCCTCGACTAACCCCTCGTCCAGCAGCCAAAGCAGCATCTGCGCAACACCGCACTGTCAAGCCAAAAGCCAGCAAAAACACTACGACGCCGAGAAGAAGGTACGCGGGCACAATAAAACCCGAGCAAGCTTCATCATCGGGCGGAAATAGGAAACGCCTCTACAACTTGGAGCCGCGACCTCGACGACCGTCCGAACCTGATAACGTTGACGATTTTCTGTTGGAAAAGTTCGATTTCAAACGTGCTCCCAAAGAGCTCATTGCTTCGATCAAACGTTTGTGCTACAATACCGGGCGATTTCACCTGTCAAAGAAGGCGAGGGACGTCTACACAGGCAATCCAGACGATTTTGGTGGCAAGAGCGCGTACCTGATCCGCAGCGACTGGAATAGAGCGACACCGGGCCTTTGGTTTCTACGCTTCTTTCTGCTCACAGGGCCGCCGATACAAAAATCCCCTGTTCCCTGGCAACCAAACGAGCGTGTTCAAAACATGACGAACCACGTCCAAATTACTACGACCCCGACGGCGGACACGGGCGGCAGCTTGCTGTTACACTTTGACCATCGGAGGTATCTCTTTGGACATCTGTCAGAGGGTACGCAAAGAGCGTTGGGTCAGCGCAAGGTCGCCCTGGCAAAGTTGGAAAACATGTTCATGTCTGGTCAAACGAGATGGGAATACACTGGTGGGATGATTGGTATGATGCTCACAGTCGCCGACGTCCTCGAGGGCAGTCGGAGGGAGATTGAGGCTCAGAACCAGGCCAGGAAGCAGTCCCAGAAGGCGTTGCTGGAGACGAAGGGCCCTGAGCGCATAGAGATTCATGGAGGCCGCAACCTTACCCACAGTCTCGCCACGGCAAGGTATTTCGTCTTCAGGAAGGGCATGCCCATCCATCCCGTTGAATGCCACGACGATCCAAGGATTGCCAATCCCGAAGCCGCCACCCCTGACTGGGAGGATGATGCCATTCAGGTCTGGAAAGTCCCTGTTGTTGCCGGTGAGCCTCAGGCCAGGTCCCGTAAGAGGAGCCATGAGGTCATGGCTGCTGAGGATGAGCAAGTGGCGGCTGATCACACGGCCCAGCCAACGCTGACTCCACAAGAACACGAAAGGCTCAATCGCGAAGGTGTCGCCGCTGTGGTGGAAGACATGTTCAACTCAGACTGGAGCAAGGACACTCTTTGTGAGACGAAGCTGCACAAGGTTTCCCTCCCCGCCACCATTTTCGTGAGAAGGAACGGGCAAATTGAGAGGTACAAGGGCCCTCTGCCTGGCGATAAGGGGCCCGTCCCCGATATCGATGTACTCGTGCGATTCCCCTGGCCCGCCACTAAAGTCGTACGTCTTCCAGACCCGAAGCTGCCGTCCGATATGTCTGTTTGTTATATTGTCAAGAACAGAGGTCGTCGAGGAAAGTTCAATCCGCAACTCGCCAAGCAATACGGCATCAAGCCATTTGAGTTCAAGCATCTAGCAGCTGGAAAGACTGTGAAAGGTGCAGATGGCGTCGATGTGACACCTGACATGGTGTTGGGTGAGCGAATCAAGCCATGCGGGTTTGCGTTGGTTGATATCCCAAACTTGTCGGCAGTGGAATCTTTTCTTGCAAGGCCAGAATGGAAGAACTCTAGCCTGATGGAAGATGTGCCCATCTTCTACTGGCTTCTCGGTCCGACTGTCATTGACGATACCCGCATTCAAAGCTTCATGAGGGAGAGGCCCGATGTGAACCACATCGTCTTGGCCCCACAGACAAGCCCAAACATGGTGACTATAGAGTCTTGCGCCATTTTGTTGGCAAAGCTACGACGAATTGACCCAGACCGCTTTCCTCTCCTCAACTTTGACAACAGCGTTCGAGACCTGTCTTTCATCGGCCCGAATGTACAAGCAGGCCGCGTCGGTATGAAGACAATGCTCTCGCCGAGCTTCAGCATGAAAGACGACGAGATTCTTCCGTTCCCAACGTTTGAAGAAGCCGGTGCAATTCCGGAAGAAGTCCTGGCACTCGCGGATGAGGCAAAGGCCGCGATCAAAGAGCCCAAGTTCATGGCGGAGGTTGAGCAAGTTGAGAAGGACATCCCCAACAGAGACGCCGAAATTATACCCCTCGGTACTGGGTCCGCTCTGCCATCCAAGTATCGCAATGTTTCTTCGACACTCATTCGCGTGCCGCAATATGGCAACTACATTCTTGACGCTGGCGAAAACACAATGGGTCAGCTGCGACGAGCTTTCCTTGCTGACGAACTAGTCCAAATTCTTCGGGATCTTCGTTGCATATTCATTAGCCACATGCACGCAGACCACCATCTTGGCACAGCGAGCCTACTGCGTGCATGGTGCGATGCCACCGAACATCTCAGCCCTCAACCTAGGCTTGTTATCTACTGCCCCGTGAGTATGCGTCTGTTTCTACAGGAGTATGGTCGCATTGAAAATATCCAAACTGTCAACGGTCGTCGCATCGAGACTCGCAATGTTGTTTGGCCCAAGGACGACGCCAAACTACCCAAGGACGACTCAACGAGGCTCGCCTCTGCCGTCCTCGTCCCCGTCAAACACTGCCAAAACTCCTACGCTCCCGTCTTCAGCTTCCCCTCGGGCCTGAAGATCGCCTTCTCGGGCGACTGCAGACCCAGCGATTCGCTCGTCAAGGCCGGCAAGGGCGCCACTCTCCTGATCCACGAGAGCACCTTCGACGACAACAAGAAGGGCGACGCCATCGCCAAGAAGCACTCCACCATGTCCGAGGCCCTCGACGTTGCGTACCGCATGGGCGCCCGCCGCGTGCTTCTTACGCACTTCTCGCAGCGCTATGCCAAGGTCCCCATCGCCGAGAAACGGGAGACCGCGGACGGCTCCGACCAGGCCGTCCTGCTCGCCTTTGACCAGATGCGCGTCAAACTGGGCGAGTTCCGTCAGGCTCAGAAGTTTTTGCCTGCGATCAGACTTTACTTTGAGTTGACTGGTGCGGATTAGATAGATGGCTAGATGTGAAAATGAATATAGAAGACATCTCCAATCACCTGTAGCTCTGATGACGCTGCCAACTATAGACGTTTGACAATGAGTACAACATGGGAGCACTATTGGTCAAACTCCAGGACTGAATCTTGCAGCGACTTCCATACTCCATTCCCCCTTTAACAGAACTCAACCATCCAGGGGAGCACCGCATCGTTTCCCTTCTCCCTCCCAATCGCCCGTTCAATGCCAAATTGTCCTAAAAGAAAGGCGGCCGGGCGTCCTTCATTAAATCAATGAAAGTCTGCCTATATGGTTTGTTATTATCCTGACGAGACGCGATTGCTGCTCAGACCCTCACGACACCACGTACGCTGAGATAGTGAAAGGCCACCAGAATTCTTGTTGCTATTTCAAAATCTGGTTAAGAGAGAATCGCAGATAGCCCTTTCTTTGACTTCCCCATTATGCGATTTATACCAGCGCCCACCCCAAGGCAATCAATTAAGTTTGAGGCTCATAATTGACTTGATTGACTTGCGATGGCTTTATAATTGGTTGATTGATTGATTGAACTTGCTAAGTTTACTTGCCTTGAGGTGGGCGCTGTTTTATGCCCCTTGTGCGCAACAAATATCCTAAACACTTCCCACGATGGAATGCGTCATCAACGCGAAAACCAAGCTGGAAGGAATGCGAGAATTCGTCTTCCCTTGAGTGTTCGAGCTGCGAACTCTTTGCCGCACAATATCAGGGCATGAAGAATGTACATAGCAGCCATCATTTCAAGCCCCGTGAAGTAGAAGACCCAACGGAATCCAATATCGCTAATCTGCACATACTGCACATAAGTTTCATATGATTCTGGGTCTTGAAGGGCTATGTCCGAAAGCGGAACGACGACCAACATGAAGGCGAAGAAATACACGATGAAGCAAAAATATGAAAACACGCGTAATACTCCCGGATGGTCAAGCCATCTTTCCATTCCAATCCCGATACGGATGGATATTATGCAAGCGCAAGGGTAGCTTACGAGCACTAGATAGATGAAACCAAACTTGCTGATCCATAGTTCTACCGGCGATAATCGATAAGCTGCGGTTTCTGCACTGTAGTAGAACATTGTCGAGAAAGTGATGAGCGTGGCGCCTAGGACGTTGAAGAACAATGATCCCACACAGACCGGTAGCCAAAGAGCTTCTCTGTAGTTGTCTAGGTCAGGAACAAGAAAACTTTGCGTGTCCTGATCAGGGATGACGCCGTGTGTCTCAGTTGCGGCCTGCTGTGCGCAAGTCGTAGATGAACCTGGCGTTGAGACTTGCTCTGCAGTGCTCGTCTGGTTGTCTTCAAGATCATGGCTTCGGCGTTGGAGCGCAATGGTTTCTGGTTCTCTTCGTTGGCCGGTCTCGTCTATGACGTTCAATTCTATGTAATGAACAGGATCCGAGGGTCGATTGGTTGTGAAATGAAAAGCAAAGATCCCAATGGCCGTGAACAGTGGGCCAATGAGCAGGATGACTGGCAGTATCTGTCCAAATGTCCATAAATCTTCTTCCGAGAGTGATGGATCATTGTATTTAAAGTTTCTTGCGGTAAGAAACTTGGCATTGCCCCATGGCAATATTACCAAGAGCCAGTAAACCTAGCAGTGACCGCCATGAATCAGCCAACAAGCTACGCAATCGGTGATGGTGCTTACTTCAAATAGTGTAGAGCTGTACAAGTCGAAGCTAAGACGGAACATGAAGAATGCCGCCAATATTGGTTTAAAGACCAGCTTAGTTCTCAGGGACTCGAGATGCGCATTGGATGAATGAGGCTTTGCGAGATTCCTCAACATCTTCTTGGCCCAGCTTCCAACTGGTTGTCTTAATTTGCCACTGAGACTCGCCGAAAGGGGACGGAACAATTTCACGGACCGGCTGACGAACCCAAAAATGAGGAGGAAGACGGAAAGAACCATAGCCTGCCATTTCTGGTCCTGTTGCGCTTTGTCGCCCTTTCTGAAGGTGCCAGTATCTTGCTTGAAATAGCACACTGCAGGCGCGGAAAGTTGAGAAAAGAACCCAGTGGGCACCATTCCGACGACCAGCAGCACGAGGAGTGAAAGCATGAGACTGAATCGTACATATTTTGCCCAAACGTACGTGTTGAGGTGCGTTCGAAGAACCGTTAGTCCAGACAAGTGTGTTACTGCAGAAAACCAGGCTATGTAGACTGCGAGTTGCCAGTGGTATGCATCCAGTCCACATGGGAGGAGGATATAACTGGTTATGAGTATACCCAGACCGGTTACAACTTGAATATCGCACATGGTAATGATAGACTTTGCAATGAGGTTATTACCGGTTGACATAAAAGCTTAGGATAAAAAAGAATCCGACTTTGGCTTCTCATCCAAGAGAACGCACCTCGTTGAATGCTGCGCGAAAGCGACGGGACCCATTGAGTGGGAGATGCCATGTTTTCCGAAAGGATTTGAGGAGGCGGTCATCAACAGGGTTCGGATGCCATCGTACCACACCCGAAGGTTTGCCGTGCTTTGCGTAAGTTTGAAATGGGTCTTCGTCCGGATCGAACGCCCGGACGTAGTCTGCAATCACCAAAAGTAAAACAAAATAGGCCGTCCCAAAGAATCCAATCACCACCTGCGAAGGAATTTAGTCCTCAATACTAATCCAAACATTCATTGGAAGTATGAGTGGTCACAGAAAGCTTTGCTTACCCCATTGCCTGATATGTCGGCGTAGGGCTGAATACTTGAAACGTTTTCTTTCGTGCAGTCAACGCGAGGACACCATTCATGGGACATGATGCTGGGATGTCGGTTTTCAGGCTTAGAGCCGAAGACTGTACATAGAAGATGTGGCGCCTTTGCCAAAGAAGAAAAACCGGTTTAATTGAATTGAAAGCACCATTTAATAAGTAATTCAGCAATCGATGTCTTGCTGCTTGCGAGACGTCATCGTCGTGATACTTCGCACCATAAGCTGACGTCAGAGGATGGATGCGTATGACAAGGCACGGCAACTGACAGTGTCAATTGGCTCATTCGGTCTTTGCTCATGATAGAATTGCACTTTGCATTCTTATCTACTTCTGCACTTTGTCTCGAGTCGTTATTACCAAAGACTTATTAAGAATCTGTGATCCATGTCAAAAATTATCTCGTGACATATTGACTATGCACTGAAGCAAAGACTAAAAATGCTCCATGGTACTCGAAAAGGTTAAGCAATATTTGCTCCAAGGCGTTTGGAAGCAAATATGAGTGTGGGACCAGGAACGGATAAGTCTGCTTTGACACAAAGCTGAACTTGAAGCAGACAACCTCTGGTTCTGGATGCGTTCGGCCAGCTGTATTTACGATACAGCTGCTTAACTACCTGCAAAGTCTTACGTGAAATTGAATGGTAAATTCAGAACTTGGGTCATCTACTTGGAGTCGCCTTAGCATCCGGGTCCTTCGTAGCGCGACGCACAGCCCCATTAATCCTCGCTGGCAGAGAACACGGTGCAATACAGCCTATTTGTCGTAACAGAGAATGGCTGGAAGTCATGACATCTTTGACTATCGAGTCCTTAGACTTTCCTGTACAAAGCTAGATTGAACTACAATAGAACGTCCATTGATGTTCTCATCTGACCCTGAAGCGGCGGACATACTCTTCCCAACACCGTCCCCCGCGGTGATCCTATTCGTGAGACCAATTTCGTCTCCCTCTTCGTCGAGCTTCAATCTGCCATCTCCGCCACTGCCAAAGTTAAACCTTGAACCCCCGTATGTGAAAAGTGCACCAGCCCCCTTTTGCGAGTTACCCCCTGCCCCCCCTTTTCCTGATCTCCATGGTGCACTGGCTGATGATGGGCCAGACTGGCCATTACTCTGTTGACTAGACGATAGCTTATGACGGACGAGATTTCGGAGAGGTGCTAGGTGGGGGAGGCAAGCAGATACTATGGCAACTGACGGTTCGATTGCCGACCAGATGAACACGGGGCCCATCATCCAGGTAATGTCCGTGGATTTAGAGAACTTATCGAGGTACCAGATTCGAACGACGCTGGCGACGCAAACACTATCGGACATGTCAGTTATTGAACTTCCACGAAGGAAAAGGGACTAGTCGCACAAGCTACCCAGAAGCATGATGCTGCATACAGCCAGCTTCTTTCTCCCCGACATCTGCAACTTCAAAATTTGTGGTATCGGAAGTAGTAGAACTATGATGTCGTTGATCATGTTGATGATACCAAGGGCGAGGTAGAATGTATTCAGGTCGATGCATGTCCCTTGCGCTCCAATGAATTGGTTCCAGTAAAAGTGCAAGGGTTTGCAAGCGTTGCCCATAGTTCCCCAAATGACGATTGGATAGGCAATGGAGAGGAAGTAGCCCGTAATCAACGACAATCTGAAGGAGGGCACTCGAGAGATAAAGACGCGCTGGTAGAAGAGGAGGATAGAGATTTTAGTCGCGGCGCAGGCGGTGCCATAGACAAACGTGTAGGCGTACAAAATCTAAGCCCAGAAGATTATTGTTAGAAACGGCAGCACGACCATCGGAGGCGCCAACATGCCTGGAAGACCTTCGTAAGACCAGGGAGCGTGAAGGACCAGATATGGTTGCCGGCGCCATATTTACCGCCGGCGATGCTAAGGCCGACCGTCGCGCCGACGAGGAGCTATCACCAAAAGTGTCAGTCCAGCATTCGGAGCCATCTCGTCTTATAAGAACATACCAAAGACCCAACGATAGCCCAGTCATCGGCCTTCAAATCATGCCCTTGAACAAATCTGGACAGAATTCTCAAAGCCACAGCCGTAGAAGCGAGGACTGCGAGGACAATGACTGCAGCATTGTTTTGCGCGACGCTGCTCTCAGCGATATCGATACCGTCCGGCGGCGGTCCAAATACAGCAACAATGTCTGCATTAGGTTCCATCATCAAGGTGAAGAGATCGAGAACCCGGCACGAAGCAACGCCATGGTGAATGGGGGCGGAAAGACATATTTTACGCCGCACATATTTCCTCGACCATGACAAGAAAGATTTTCGTCATGCAGAACCGAGCAGCTTTGGCGGGAAATGGCTGCGGCAGAGTCTCTACGCGGAAGGAACGCCGGTTGCGGGAAAAGAAATTCTGGACGCGAGTCTGAGCTGGAATTCGAAGATTGGGCTGGTGCTGGCTGTTGGTCGTCGTTATCCCAGACGTAGTCTCCACAACCTTGCAGACTGGTTGATGAAGACCCAGATATTCAGTGGTTGTGGGATACGACTTCCGTGCACAGTCACATTCGGATCGGCTCCTCTCTTAGCATGAGAAAAAGATGTCGTTGGCCGTTGGTTCATATCGTATGATACTCTGGTGGCCTGTTCCATAAAGTGGGACCGTATATGCATGTGTAGTTTCTCCGTACAGGGGAAGAATGCACAGACGAGGGGATGCTGTTGGTTCTCCTTTGGAGGCGGCTCGAGCTGCCAGGGCCCCAGGTAATTTATGACGACGATTCTGCGGTTGGCCCTGGTATCTGCAGCTCACTGTAGCCCTTGAAATGTGATGAGCATTCTTCACATGCATACGGAAGAAATGAACGAACAAGTTGAGGAGGAGGTCCGATGCGATGCATTGTACAGTTGAGGTTCTGAATTCCTAGATCAGTGGCATATATCGAACGATAAAATGACACTTCTCGATCTTGACACACGTAGCAATAAAGAAACCAGAGATACGCAACGAATCACGATGCATCCATCTCGATACTGTTATGTACGTTGTGCTTGAGCCTAGCCGCTGTCATGTAAGGAACTCTTTAGCATCTTTACGGGTTGCAGGGGCGGGGAAGTAATTCCTAGCGGGCCGACTTGGCTTGCATGGATCGTTAAGCGGTGGTCTGGGTGCGACTTCGTTGACAAGGATCTCCAACTTCTCCGGTCAGTACTCAAAAGCAGTAGGTGATCTGACGATGTGTTGCAAGCAGCCGTTGGCAGTTTCAAAAGAGATTAGTAGCTCGACTCACCTGAAGGTGTAATGCAAAGAATAATAATGATGTTCTGCATGCTCAACAGTATCCTGTCGGTCTTGCCCCGTTTGGAGTGGCGGGGATGAAATTCGGTCCACTTGTTGGCACGGGGGTGCAGGCATCTTCAATCCGTACCTGGCATCAACCATGGCGACCGTTGGTTCATAGGACGAACATACAATGAAGTGATTAGAATGTACGTCTGAGGCGCAGCACAAATGCGTCGGAGGAAGTCTGGCCGACCCTCTTGCAACTGAGAACGGCAAATTAGGTCCTTCAGTATTCTGTGCTGTCATTAAATCAAGCTCGCCCCTCTCCCTGCCCTTCGACCGTTTTCACTAATATCTCATTATTTCTCGACTACATATCATTACCATGGACTCCTTATCAGGCTGGACAGAGATCCCCGATCTTACGCCTCTCGAGCGTATCGGGCCGAAAGGCTACCTTCGTTATGTCTTCCCATTCCAGCTCCCGGATGACTACAATCTCGAGGAAGCAGCTTCAGTACTCCGCGCAGGATATGAAGTCGCCCAGAGAAGAATTGCGGTCCTCGATTGTGAGGCTATCCCAAACCCAGACGCCAAGCAAGCCGGTACTCTAAAGCTACAGAGGTTGCGCTCAGGCGAAGTGGAAGGTATCGCTGTCAAGGACTTGAGAACACCAGGGGCCTTCCCGATGACCTATTCGGAGCTCAAGTCTAAAGCCTTCCCTGTGTCTGCTTTCGATGCGAACACCATCATGCGCCGCTCCGTCTGGCCCTCTGCAGGGGAACGTCTCCCTGTCTCCCTTCCTCAAGCCAACTTCATTCCAGGGGGCATGATTCTCTCCTGGTGTATCTTCCACATGTTTGGTGATGGTAACACCTTCCTCACCTGGACCAAAGTCTGGGCGGAGGAGTGTCGGCGTGCCCAAGGTCTTGACATCACCGACCCCTTCAAGCTTGATGAGGCTCTAATCAGAGATCGTCAACGCATCATGAAGCCCTCTGGAAAGAACAAGGGCAATCCCGAGGACCACCCGGAATACACCATCCTCCCGTTTACACCCCAGGGCATGCCACCCAACATGCTCTCCGAGGCCCACCGAGGGCAGGTCTTTTACTTCTCCCCTGAGTCTCTGGCCAGACTCAAGGCTGAAGCATCTCCTCAGAATGCGACAGAACCAACAAACCAGAAATGGATCTCCACCAATGATGCTCTTTCTGCCCTTCTTTGGCGCACGGTCATGGCTGTACAATCTCCTCTTGAGACTCTCAAAGGCGACCCAGTATCTGTCTACAACATAGCCATAGATGGCCGCCCGCGCACCGATCCTCCGGTCCATCCTCACACTATGGGGTGTTTCCTGGGCTATGTTGCAGCCTCCGCTCCGATTCGGAAGATGCTTGGCTCAGCAAGCCTGGCTGATCTGGCAATCTTGGTCCGCCAAGCACTACTCCGAGCAGGTAGCCAGTTCGTTGACGATGTTGCGACGTTGATTGATACCGTGGAAGACGTCAACCGGGTCCTGCCCACTGCTTTACTCGATGTTCCGGGTAACAACTGTATTCAGAGCTCCTGGGTCAATTTCTCATTGTACGATGTTCAGTGGGGACCATCTCTTGGTAACAGCATTCAAGCTGTTCGTTCTCCGCATGTTGGAGTTATCAATGGGTTGCAGGTTGTTCTGCCGATCTTGCCGGATGGGGGAATGGAGATTCTCGTTGGTGTTGAGGCCAACTGTCTGGATAGGTTGATGCATGAGCCTCTGTGGATGAAGTTCGCTGAACCGCGATGAGTTCCATTGC